CCTTTAAAGTTGTCCAAATGAAGTTCTTAGCAATGCATATTACTAATCAAAAATTAAGTTTTAATATATTTACAGTAGGAAATTTACAAAATATCTTCATGGAACATGATCTTTACTAAAAAGAAAAATCAATAATTTTGACCTATACAATGTATTTTTGGCAATTGCTACAAATATACCCCAGTGACTTAAGACTGGTTTTGTGGTCCAGGGTCACATATAATATTTCTTCCAAACAGGCTACTTATAATGACTTATGTTTTTTATTTAGCTTATTTTTAATCTATGCTCTATAGAATGACCATAAGTACAAAAAAATATATACTGAAATGTCAACAAAAGCTTTATTTTGCAAGACTGTACATATGACACACTGTAATCAGGCATGTTTTGCGGTACTATTTTAAAATGTACAACAGTGATTAATGATCATGTTTATCAGAAAAAAAAAGATTTACGTTAAGCAAACATTAAGGAAAGATTTACATAAAAAATTTCAGTTCAAGATTTGTCTGAAGGATGTTGGTTACTGATTGTAGGGTGCTGATATATATTCTTCACTTCACAATAGCTCATATGGATTCATTTCTTCTCCTTTTTCTTCTGCAGGCTCCTAAAAATAATCAGAAACAGTTGATAGTGAGCCTTCTCTGTTTATTATGTATGAGTGTGAGAGAGAGAAGTATTCATATTGTATGGACATATAGTATATACAAAATATAATATAAAAAATATTAAAGGTTTATACTAACCTCTTTTCAATAGCCTTCATGATGTATTTCTGCATGAATTTAGATTCTGGATTCAAGCATTTCTGCTCTGTACTATTTTTCAGAGTAACACTACAAAAACACAAGACAAAATAAGCTGCATGATTATTTATGCCAGTCAACATATTTAAACAGAGATGTACAATATTTAGAGAATATTTGTATGTAAATAACAGTATACACTTACACAATCTCCTGGGTTTTACAAGAGGGACTTGGTGGAATAATTTCAACCTTCTCAATCAGTTTTGGAGGAACCATGTTCACACCTTTGTCAGCACAAAAACACCTGCCCTTCGGAACTCTAGCCTGGCCTGGAAGAGAAAAACAGTGCATTTTACCATTATCTGCAACACCCTGCCATGCAAAGAAGGTTTCACAATATAAATGCACAGTATGAAAAACAAAATTTGCATTTCTTCAATCTCTAAAGTTCAGAGATCAAACTCACCTTTCACCTCTACAACAAGCAGGCAGCCTAGAATAACCATCGCTGTAGTGATTTTCATGGTATTCATTTTATGTTTTCACCTCCCTAATGGCTGGTTATTGAAGTTGTGTATGATTAAGTTCAGCTGCTTTGTTTTTATGCTTTTGTAAGGGGTTTTCCCTCCCTGACAATTTTTCAGTTTTTGTTTCTATGGTCCTGCATCTGTACTTGTCTCGTTTCTCAGAAACACTTTCTTTTCATGTAGACTTGACCTTTCCAAGAATGAGGAAGCATTCATTCCAAAGATCGTTTTCTTTGGTCAATATTAGACTATAATTGCAATTATTTTGCAATATTAGACTATTATTGCAATGAAAAGCATTAGGTCATTAAAACATTAAAAGCATAAACATTGTGTAATTTAATGCACAATTTTTATTATGAATTTACAGATATCAGTCTATGTAAGTATTAATACTTGGGATTTCTGGTGACTCTTTATGTGGGTAACATTGCACCAGTAGGTGGCATGGCAACGAATAAGTGAGTCACTGAACCATTTTTCAATAGATATGTTAAAAAAACAATACATTCAGGTACAAAATAAGTGTGATTATGAGTGAGTCAGTGAATCATTTACTCAACCGAATCATTCAACAACCAGGGGCATAGCTGGACTTTTTTTTTTACTGTTGCACAAGCCCCATTGTAATGCCACTGTGCTCCTGTAAAATATTACCCAAACCCTTGTCTGACAATGGAGATGGCTGTATACCAACCTAAGAATCATTTTCAATTATGTACATAAGCAATTATGTAATGTGTGTTTTCTATCAGCTGTTTTAAATCAGAACTAGGGATGCAAGATTGTGAATGAATGAGTCGGTCAAATGGGTCTGCGTAAAGGTCTGGAGTTGTTAGTAACGAGATGTTTTACAAGGCAGAAAACAAAAGGAGTTGCAGGATGAGGTGAATTTTTACCTATAATTCTTTGTTCATAGGTAAACTCTTGTGCATACAGCTTTTGAACGACTCTGTACTACAGGTAAAGAAAATTTATATCCATCCAGTAGTATTAAACAGAGTATAAAAATATGAGGAAATGTTTTTGATGGGGGTACTGTGCCCAGTACAGAAAGAAATGCTTGAAACGTTCCTGTCAACTACTCATTCACAAGTGAGACGCTATTAGACACATGTGACATTTGAATCTGCTGTGGCTTAGTTTCAAACTATTTTTTCTTAGCTTATGAATAATAGTCAAAAGTAACTGACAATATTGTACGTAAAATGTATGTCTCTTCCTTGTAAATTGAACTATTGTATACATTGTGCTGCTGTTGTTCTGAATATCAGACTGCGACCTTGTGCAGGCAGCTGAATCACAGTGTGGTGATGGAAACCACAAACTAGTACACAGACCAACACTTCTTTTTAAATAGATGTTAATAGGTCAGTGGTTAGTTCCTCTCACTCACTACCCTTTTATTTTACATTCTATGTTCTATTTTAAAGTCAAAACAGTGATTTATTGAAATACATCAACATGGGAAAACCCCTTATAAGACTGGTATAATTATTGGTATAAACAGCTGTATTTTCTTTCAGGAATATCAATACAGTATATAGAGAATTTAAATACACTGCCATTCAAAAGTTTGGGATCAGTAAGATTTTTAATGTTTTTTAAAGAAGTCTCTTATGCTCACTAAGGCTGCATTTATTTGATCAAAAAACAGTAATATTGTGAAATATTATTACAATTTAAAATACCCGTTTTCTATTTTAAAATACTTTTTTTTTTAAATGCTAAGCTGGATTTTAATTCATTATGTATGTCATTTTCAGTTGATTGATTTATCCGGTGCAGTGGCAATCTACAGTGGCAAAAGTCTTCATATCAGTCAAAAATAGCTGTTTATAACTGAGACTCTGTTTAGCTATTTTTTTTAAAGCTTTATTGAGTTTTCACTTCCCAGACCTTGTGTTTTAGATGAGACTATTGTTACCCATGAGACTATTGCTTATTGGAGTGCCATATTCATTTACACTCAGAATGTCAGAATGCAAGAACTACTCTGAAAGAAGTCAGGAGACATAATTTATAGATAGAAACGCTTTATTTGACACATCTTTGTGGATAATGAAAATACAATCAGCATATTATAAAAAGACTGTACATATGACACATTGTTCAGTGGTCAGTGATCAGAGAAAAAATAATTTAATCAGCTTAGACAGGAAATATTTTTAGTTTAAAAGTTTTTTTTCTTCCAAATTGAACTCCAACTTATGAGGCAGAATATGAATACATATGAAGTCATTTGAAGGATGTTGGTGCTGATGATGATGTCATGGTGTTCTTCAGTGGCACAGAGGCAGTTGTACTGTGTGGTGCTGTCTGCTGGCTCCTGTGAAGATCAGAAATAGGTTAAATTTAGTTTCATTTCCCATTAATCAATTAATTATTTTTTAATTGCTTTCTGCCACACAAATCTACATCTCTGCATTGAATGTGTATGTGAAGCATGAGTAAATATACTATTCTCACCTCTTTTCAAGAGCATTTATGATGACATTTTGAGTGAATTTTGACTCTGGATTCATGCATTTCCGTCCTGCACCATTCTTCAGAGTGACACTATAAAAGAGCAAAAAGCAATGAGCTGAATCTTACTTGGGTTTGTTTTACAGTTGACAAATTAATTGAAAATGAAAATAAATGATTGTATACAAATGTAGGCTGTGCTTACATAATCTCATGTTTGCGACAAGATGGACTTGGAGGGATGATTTCAACCTTCTCAATGTTCTTCACTAAAACCATGTTTGCAGCTTTGTCTGCACAGAAGCACCTGCCCTTTGAAGACCTGTCCTGTCCTGGAAGAGAAATGTCATATATTTCATTAGAGTCTATTAACTGCAAAACATTACCATAAGCAAATGTACATTCTGAAGATATGCTGAATGCTCTTGATCTGCGATTCTCAGAGCTCAAACTCACCTTTCACCCCTACAGCGATCAGGCAGGCGAGAAGAACAAAAGCTGCAATAGTCTTCATTGTCTTCTTGCTCTCGTTGAACTGTGCTTGTGTTATGTCTGGGTCAGTGAGATTATGACTGAAGGACTTCAGGAGTTCATTTAAATACTGTAGGATCAGGGTTTCCCCTCAGTTTTAGTTCTCTTTTTAGGTTTCAGTACTCCAGCTTCCTCCCTTTTTTCTCTTTTTATTGCGATTTCTCCGAAGCACTTTCCTTAACCCTCATGGAGAGAAGCCTTGACTTAGGGCACCCTGTTTGTAACTTTCCATGAATGAGGAAGGATATATTGCTTAATTAGACTGGAATATCTGTGTAAATTATGATTTGGTGGGAGTACTACTGTACTAAAACATTGAAAGTGAAAAACTCTTGGGGCATTTCAGTTATTTTCAAAACATTTTAATTGATTGAATTTGATGGCTTTTATTGTCTGTTTTAAGCATATGACCATCTGTTGTTTACATTTTGTGTATAAATTAAGGTAACAATACACAGACATATAGAAAATGCACATGAAACTATTTATTAACACAATCTTTTGCTATGATTTCATTGCTAATGATCGATTGTTTGAAAGAAAAAAAAATCTGTGCAGGTAAAACACAGATACACAGTGACAGGCACCTGCATGTTACAACCAACAATTTCTATGTATCCAGTCTGACTGAATCCTGCTTATTTAGTAGTTTATAGCTACATTTTGAAGTTGTAGTTTGTTTCATTTACAAATTGGATGTAAATGTGGTCCTACTCTTTACTGAAATCAGCTTTCTTGATAGTTACATTTTATATCATTCTTAATCACCGATGCCCCTCAACCACCAGCACCCCTATTTGCTAGGTCTAGGACATTCTCTGTTTTTCTTGCAATGTAGTTTACCAAAGAGGTCTGCCATCTAAGTCCTAACCAGATTTATCCCTGCTAAGCGGCAGAGTAGCAGACTTGACCTTTCCAAGAATGAGGAAGGAATCATTTGAATTATTATTTTCTTTTGGCAATATTAGACTATAATTGCAATGAAAAGCATTAGGCCAATAAAACTAAAAAAAACATGAACATTGTGTAATTTAACACCAGTGGTGGACGAAGTACACAAATCAAGTACTTGAGTAAAAGTACAGATCCGTATTATAAAATATTACTCCAGTAAAAGTAAAAGTACTCAGTTTTCAATTTTACTCGAGCGTGTCAGCGCACGTGATATATTATAAGGAGTAACGATAAGTTTTATTAAATGTAGTGAAGTAAAAAGTACGATCTTATGCTTTGGAATGTAGTGAAGTAAAAGTAAAAGTTACTCAAAATAAAACTACTCCAGTAAAGTACAGATACTTGAAAAATGTACTTAAGTACAGTAACGAAATTAAACTACTTCGTTACTGTCCACCACTGTTTAATACACATTTTTTTAAAAGACAGACTGTCGGTATTAGTGGGGATTCCCAGGAGAAAAAATTGCACTTCCATAAGATACTTAAAGTGCTCTATTTTCATGTACTCATTTTGTACTTAATATACTAAAAATTATTATTTTGTACTTCTTAATCTTTAGAACATCTAAATGTACTCAAATGGGCTTATTACCAATTGTAGTGCACTTGAATCCATCTTTCATACACTAGTGGGTTCAAGTGTACTACAAGTGGTATCTAAATACATTTTTTAAATACAGAGATAGAATGCTAAAAGCACATTTTAGTTCATATTCATGCTGTCCAAAAATAGCACATTTGAGTACACTTAGATGCTCTTAAGATTATCTTAAGAAGTACTAAAGAATAATGTTTTAGTATATTAAGTACAAAATTAGTGCGTGAAAATAGAGCACTTTAAGTACATTATGGAAGTGCACTTTTGGGGGGGATTTCCAGTGACTCTTTATGCAGGTAACATTGCACCAGTAGGTGGCGTGGCAACAAGTAAGTGAGTCACTGAACCATTTCCCAATAGATTTGTTAAAAAACAATACATTCAGGTAAAACAAGTGTGATTATGAGTGAGTCAATGAATCAGCTGAATCCTTCAACAACCAGGGGCTTAGCTGGACCTTTTTACTGTTGCACAAGCCCCATTGAAATGCTGCTGTGCTCTAGTAAAATATCTGACAATGGAGATGACTGCATACCAACCTAAGAATCAAAATATTATCTAAAATGTGCATCACTCAGTAATGATTCCTTGTTTATTGAACTATTGTACACATACTGTTGTTGTTCTGTGGCCTTGTGCAGACAGCTGAATCGCAGTGTGGTGATGTAAACCACAAACTACACAGACCAACACTTCTTTTTTTTAAATAGATCTTAATAGAGGTCAGTTGTTAGTGGTTCTCACTACACTTTTAATTTGCATTGCATGTTCTATTTTAAAGTCTTTAATAAAAACATTGATTTATGGAAATTTGGAAATGCTGACATGCACAAATGTCATCAATATGGGAAAACGTATAAGACTGGTATAATTACTTCTATAAACACAGCTGTTTTTTTTTTCAGGCATATCAATACAGTATATAGAGAATATATATACACTGTTGTTTAAAGGTTTGGGATCAATAAGATTTTGAATGTTTTTTTAAATAAGTCTCTTATGCTCACTAAGGCTGTATTTATTTGATCAAAAATACAGAAAAAACTGTAATATTGTGAAATATTATTACAATTTAAAATAACTCTTTTCTGTTTTAATATAAATATAATTTCTTCCTGTGATGCTAAGCTGAATTTTCATCAGCCATTTCTCCAGTCTTCAGTGTCACATGATCCTTCAGAAATCATTCTAGTATGCTGATTTATCATCAGTGTTGGAAACAGTTGTGCAGCTTAATATGTTTTGGAACCTGTGATACTTTTTCCAGGATTCTTTGATGAATGAATAAAAACATTTTATCAACTTAACACATTCTTGGTGAATAAAAATATTTTCTTTAAAAAAATACTGCCCCAAAACGTTTGAACGGTAGTGTATACATTGTTACAAATGATTTCTATTTTGCTATTTAAATGCTGTTCTTTTTAACCTTGTATTCATCAAATATCCTGATTAAAATGTCACAGGTTCCAAAACATATTAAGCAGCACAACTGTTTCCAACATTGATAATAAATCAGCATATTAGAATGATTTCTGAAGGACACTGAAGAATAATGATACTGAAAATTCAGCTTTGCTTCATAGGAATAAATACATTTGACAGAATATTCACATACAAAAGAGCTATTTTAAATTACAAAAATATTTCACAATATTCGTTTTTTTATGTATTTTGATCAAATAAATGCAGCCTAAATGAGCATAAGAGACTTCTTTGAAAAATATTAAAAACCTTACTGATCCCAAACTTCTGAACAGCAGTGTATGTATAGGTAGGTAGCTAGGTAGATAGATAGATAGATGGATGGATGGATGGATGGATGGATAGATAGATAGATAGATAGATAGATAGATAGATAGATAGATAGCAGGTGTGGACAGTAACTAAGTAGTTTAATTTCGTTACTGTACTTAAGTAGTGAACACTAATTTCTTTACTTTACTGGAGTAAGTATTTAACCTTGTATTCATCAAATATCCTGATTAAAATGTCACAGGTTCCAAAACATATTAAGCAGCACAACTGTTTCCAACATTGATAATAAATCAGCATATTAGAATGATTTCTGAAGGACACTGAAGAATAATGATACTGAAAATTCAGCTTTGCTTCATAGGAATAAATACATTTGACAGAATATTCACATACAAAAGAGCTATTTTAAATTACAAAAATATTTCACAATATTCGTTTTTTTATGTATTTTGATCAAATAAATGCAGCCTAAATGAGCATAAGAGACTTCTTTGAAAAATATTAAAAACCTTACTGATCCCAAACTTCTGAACAGCAGTGTATGTATAGGTAGGTAGCTAGGTAGATAGATAGATAGATAGATGGATGGATGGATGGATGGATGGATAGATAGATAGATAGATAGATAGACAGATAGATAGAAATATTGTGGGTATGGGATCTCAATGTCTGCTCTAACGATACAATGAAAGAATAACAGTGAACACTAATTGCTTTTTTGTTCATGTATTCACTATATTCCATCACTTCCTCCTCTCTTCCTTTTTCAAGAGAGACTCATTTGTTTAAACTTTCTTTCATTAATGATGACGCAACTAACAATAAGCAGAGCAGAAGTTCCCATGTTTAAGATGTTTAAGGCTTTTTTTAACAGTTTCTTCTGATCACAGTTGGAAGTAGCTGTCTAGATGTTGTTTTAATTCATTATGTGGAATGGAAATGTAGCTTGATATCATTTTCAGTTGATTGATTTATCCAGTGCAGTGGCAATCAACATTAGCTTGCACTGGCAAAAGTCTTTATACCAGCCATATCAGTCAACTGAGACACTGTTTAAAATAGTAGCAGTCTTTAAAACTTAACTTAACTTTCACGTCCCAGACCTCGTGTTTTAGATGCCCATGAGACTATTGCTTATTGTAAATGGATTATCATATGCATTTTTACTCAGAATGTCAGAATGCAAGAACTACTCTGAAAGAGGTCAGGAGACATATTTTATAGATATAAAAGTTTTATTTGACACATCTTTGTGGATAATGAAAATACAATCATAAAACAAATTATAAAAAGACTGTACATATGACACATTTGTGAGAATGTTTGTGAAAACAACCCAGTGGTCAGATAAAAAATAATTTTATCAGCTTAGACAGGAAATATTTTTAGTTTGAAAGTTTTTTTTTCTAAATTGAACTCCAACTTATGAGGCAGAATATGAATACATATGAAGTCATTTGAAGGATGTTGGTGCTGATGATGATGTCATGGTGTTCTTCAGTGGCACAGAGGCAGTTGTACTGTGTGGTGCTGTCTGCTGGCTCCTGTGAAGATCAGAAATAGGTTAAATTTAGTTTCATTTCCCATTAATCAATTAATTAAGTCTTTTTTAAATTGCTCTCTGCCACACAAATCTACATCTTTGCATTGAATATATATGTGAAGCATGAGCAAATATACTATTCTCACCTCTTTTCAAGAGCCTTTATGATGACATTTTG